CCCCCCCCCCCCCCCCCCCCCCCCCCCCCTTATCCCCCTCTCCTTCACATCCCATAATGGTACTCACCTCGCCCGACGATGACGAACACAATGGGTGCTCCAATCTCATAGGAGCACAATGCAAAACTTGGACGCAGTTTGTGATTGAATAATTCGAGTGATTTCCCTGTTATTATTTTGCCCGGGTTTAGAACTAGACCTGGGGGAGAGGGCGAGCAGGAGAGGGTGCCGCTTGGGGTAGGCCACTTCAGATTTTTTTCCTTTTGGGGGTGAGAGGGGGGAATTTTTTGCATTTCGTTTTCTGGCTGTTCCAGAACCTCATTTTATCACCCCATTCTATAAGTCTTAATTTTCATGCTGTCTCAAAACGATTCTGAGCAAAAAGGAACGGCCTCAGCATGTTACTTTTAGTGCTTTTATCGAATATGAACATTTTTACATAGCAAAATTACATTTCTTAGCTGAATTATCCGGTACTGAATGTTGCACATGAAAGAAAAATGAAAATATTAGTAATGGCGTATATAAAATATTAAAAAATACTTGTATCAAAAAAAAAAGTTATTGAAACGAACAGAAAATGTTTCGGTCCATTAAGTCGCATACATTCCCATTTCAGCATCAGCAGTGAGCGTCACATCAGTAGGACAGCTGTGATATAGATGAATCAGTCTCCCAAAAATTTTTGCATCCCTATAGCTATTCGAGTGCTCGATTCTCTGATTACCCTGAACTTGAGTCGAAGTTCACAGATTATGGCATGATGTGGTGGGGGATGACTCGAGATTTCTAGCTTCGGATATCCAAGAATTTCAAATTCCAAGCTTTAACAATTCGGAAGTTCAACTGCTCTGGAAGCATTTGCAAAGAACTATCAATATCTTTAAAAACTGTTTTGCATTTAAGTACCGGAGTATCATAAAGTGTCGGTCAGGAGCCAAATTCCGCCCTTTGTTCATATTTTTCTCGAAAGCTGAAGCAATCGGAATTAGTCCGAGTGTTGGTAGCACGAACTGAAGCTGCCGATTGCCTCCTCCTTCTTCAGGTGATGCTTTTGACTCCCTGGTATATGCCAGTACGAATTTACCAGCGAAACGAATGAATCATAGAGGGAGAGACTGGTTCTCGAATTCTTGATGTCACAGCAGTACTACTTCCCATTGCACCATGGCAGTGGGTGCCTGCACTATAGGGTGTTCGTATGAAGTAATTAAAAGATGTTTGTCTAAAAGTAGCCATAATTAGAGGAAATATGTCAATGAGAGTTCGTAAATGTATCATTAAAATTGTAAAATGCGCCCACCAGGTTGTATCATTTATGTTCAGCGTGTCCTAGCAACCACACTATTTCTGGATGTGTTTGAGGAGCTATCAGCAACTTAGTGTTAGACCTGTTTTGACGTTCCTTTCCCCACAGCCCGTCCTACCGCGCTCTCCTCCCCCTCCTCCCCCTCCCGTATTCTCCCAGCTACTCTTCCCTTCCCCTCCTCCTTCCCTTATTTACCTGTAAACAACGATAACTAGAGATAAATATAAGATAGTTTTGAACTGTTAGCGGTTCGCGGTCACGTCATCGTTTTAGTGAATAAATACGATGACCGTTGATGTCTTTTTAACCAATTACAAGTCGATGTCGAGAAGTCTCCTTTGGCTTAACTTTCTGGATTGGTACCTCGAAGATAGAGACTATGCTTGGTGGACTCATCCATACGCACCTATGACCAGAGAAACAAATCCAAATTAATTTACAACCGGAAAGCAAAGAAAGCTACAAATTTTTGCCTCAAACAAACTTCAGGTTTCGCCATGTCCTAATTTGCAATCGCAGCTTGAAACCTAGCTAATTTTATGAATTTCGTACGGATGAGCTAAAATTTCGTGTCATCTTATTTGATAACATAAGGAGGAATGGATGACTCGAATCCTTACGGTTTTGTGACCTACAATCGTAACTCCAAGTACGGAATGACGATATAACTTGAAAATCCGAAATTTTTATGCTTCTGATTCATATCAGTTAGCAGCAAACGATAACGAGCTCCTGTGTACTGGCAAATTCACCATCTAGACGCCTTGAACAGCAAAAAACCATCCTCCTGCAACGTAAAGCTGTTTATATTGCTAATCTCCAATTTGGGCCGATCATCTTCCAATATTCTTTGGTGTTGCACTCGAAATGTATGTTTGAGATGCAGAGAGTGTACGCAGCATGCAAAAATATCCCAAAAAACAAATTTCCTGGAGTTGTCAGCTGTCATTTTTTCCTCACCGTTCACTGTCGAAATAAGATCTGTCTTTTTCTCATATTAATGTGGCTTCCTATGAAATTCGCTCTGGAAAAAACAATCGACAGCTTTTTTGCCTGCAGTCTTCCTGCGATCCTTTTCCCTTGTTTTGACTCAGCTGAGTCTTTATTTTTCTCATTGTAAATATTACATATTTTTTCCCTTGTTTTTTTTTTTTTTATCAGATTTCCTTCAATTTTACTTTTATACAAGTCTGTATTTTAAATACTTCGTATATTTTAAATACCACCAATTAATCAACGTCACAGCCGTCGCACTGAGGAGATCCAGTTGTATGCGACTTGATGAACCGAAATATTCCTGTTGCATGAATTAATTTTTTCATATTTTATATATATCATCACTACAAACTGTCATCGAAATACAATCAAATCCGCAATTTAAGCAATCGTTC